ACTACGAAGTGAAGATATAGTTTCTGGAATTGTCAGTTAATTCACAAAGATAATGCATCTGCTCCGAAATTTTAAAATGTGTGTATTGGAACAACACAAAAAAACAGAGAAAAAAAAGCCAAAAATGATAGAATTTGACGCAAAACTCCAAAAATGGGCCGGACAAAATTATTGGCACCTTTTCAAAATTGTGGGTAAATAACTTTGTTTCAAGCATGTGATGCTCGTTCAAATTCACCTGTGGCAAGTAACGGATGTGGGCAATATAAAAATCACACCTGAAACCAGATAAAAAGGAGAGAAGTTGACTCAATCTTTGCATTGTGTGTCTGTGTGTGCCACACTAAGCATGGAGAACAGAAAGAGGAGAAGCGAACTGTCTGAGGACTTGAGAACCAAAATTGTGGAAAAATATCAACAATCTCAAGGTTACAAGTCCATCCCCAGAGAGCTTGATGTTCCTTTGTCCACGGTGCGCAACATAATCAAGAAGTTTATAACCCATGGCACTGTAGCTAATCTCCCTGGACGTGGACGGAAGAGCAGCCCCAATCAAGTTCCAAAGAAATTCAAGCTGTCCTGCAGGCTCAGGGTGCATCAGTGTCAGCGTGAACTATCTGTCGACATTTGAATGAAATGAAACGCTATAGCAGGAGACCCAGGAGGACCCCACTGCTGACACAGAGACATAAAAAAGCTGAGTAAGCCAAAATCCTTCTGGGAAAATGTCTTGTGGACAGATGAGACCAAGATAGAGCTTTTTGGTAAAGCACATCATTCTACTGTTTACCGAAAACGGAATGAGGCCTACAAAGAAAAGAATACAGTACCTACAGTCAAATATGGTGGAGGTTCAAAGATGTTTTGGGGTTGTTTTGCTGCCTCTGGCACTGGGTGCCTTGACTGTGTGCAAGGCATCATGAAATCTGAAGATTATCAAAGGATTTTGTAGGGCCAAGTGTCAGAAAGCTAGGGTTGCGTCCTAGGTCATGGGTCTTCCAGCAGGACAATGACCCCAAACATACTTCAAAAAGCACCCAGAAATGGATGGAAACAAAGCGCTGGAGAGTTCTGAAGTGGCCAGCAATGAGCCTGGATCTAAATCCCGTTGAACACCCATGGAGAGATCTTAAAATTGCTGTTGGGAGAGGGCACCCGTCAAATATGAGAGACCCAGAGCAGTTTGCAAAAGAAGAGTGGTCTAAAATTCCAGTTGAGAGGTGTAAGAAGCTTGTTGATGGTTATAGGAAGCGATTGATTTCAGTTATTTTTTCCAAAGGGAGTGCAACCAAATATTAAGTTGAGGGTGCCAATAATTTTGTCTGGCCCGTTTTTGGAGTTTTGCGTGAAATTATATCATTTTTGGCTTTTTTTCGTGTTGTTCCAATACCCACAAAGGAAATAAACATATGTATATCAAAACGTGTAATTGCAATAATTTTCTGGGAGAAATACAACATTTTCTGGAAAAATTTCAGGGGTGCCAACACTTTCGGCCATGACTGTATCTGTTGGTTTTATGAACCACTTATTTGAAATCACCATTTTATAAAGCCATAATCACCATTTTTTAACCGTGTTTTGGCGAAAGGCGGCTGGCTTAACCGCAGGGTGCATCTGCTGTTTAGTCAGATTTGTCTGCCGAGGGAAGCCAAAACAGCACGGAAGATCTATTAAGGTCAATCTCTCACCATTCTTCTTTGTAGTGTTGATTTGCAGTGCCTGCCAAGTGCCAACAGCATGATTATCTTTTTTTTTTTAGGTCGTTCTGTTTTGGGATTACATGCGAACCAGCACATAGCATGACCGTGCAGTATATCCATTATATTAATTATAAAAGCATACATTCACACTGTCCTAACTGAGCCGCTCCATCTTCCGCCGCACGCTCACACACACGCACACACCCCCGCGAGCCAGCCCAGTGACGTCAAGACTGTGAGACGGGGGAAGTGTCCTGCAGTAGGGTGTAGCTGTAACTTCTTCGAAACTTTCGTTTTCACTTATTACGGCCGGTTTAGGCGAATGTGTTAGCTGAATCACACGGAGGTGAGTGTTCAGCTGTGTTGTTGCCTTACGATTTATATCTGTCTCGTCAAACGTGCAGTATCAGCTCGCAAGGGAGATATTTCCGGCTTTAGCTAGCCAGACTTATTGCGTTTGTAATTGGTAGCTAGTTTAGCTAGGTTAGGGTGGCGCTCATGTGGTCAGAAAAATAAAAGATGCAGACCGTATAACGTTAGGTGTATTTGTCAGTAAAGGGAGTGGGCTAAGAGTGACTAATACACAAGTCCGATTTAGATTTAACTACCGCTAGTGTGCATTTGGTATTATGTCCCTTGTATTTTCTTGTATTTCCACATCGTCGAGCGTATTATTCAGTAGCCACATGGAAGCGGAGCGAAATGATTGAGTTATTCTGAGTTATAAAGAGCCTGGAGCACCGGTGTACTCTGAGCATGCGCAGAGTGGAAAACGGACTTTCCGCGCTGCTGCTGGCTGCCTTCTGTTGTCAGATGCTGATGGGTGATTCCACGAGTGGGGGGCCATTTGTGTCCCACTGATATTACATATACAAATATGTATGTAATGTAGACTTTTTAAACATATGTAAAGTGTCCTTCACCCTCTGTTAATATATTATTTTTGAAGATAATATATTAATGTAATAGAAAACATATTAATATAATAGAAAAGCTTATTAGCGTTTACTCAACCCTGTTAACTCAATGCGTTCACCCCCATGAAATATCTGGAATATTGCACAAGTCACATTTGCATTATTCAAATTTCCTGAAGGTGCAAGAAGACAAGTATATTCTGTCATTGTTATCACTTTATTTTCAATGATGTTGTGACATTGACTAATGCTGTCACTTTGAAAGTACAACCCTATAGATATAGACATTAATTGTGTATCAGTTCTATAGTAAAAACTTTCGACTCATTACTCATTTAAGCCATTACCAGGAAAGAAATCTTTTTAAAAATTCAGTGTTGAAAAATGACAAAAAAAAAACAAAACGGTATAATGTGTAAGCACCGTTTAATTCTTATGGGATGTAAATGACACCCAATTGTGGAATCACACGGGTAACTCATACTCCTAAAACTTATTATGATAGTGTTGGAATACTTAGTTAAAAAAAGAATTCATTACAAATTGCTCTCTACATCTCTGAAACATACATACTTTACTTACTAATTCCTGAAAAATTGATAAGGACAGGAATCTTATGACACTACTTTTATGCTACTCTCTAAAACTCATACAAATCTGTATGAGATTGGAAAGTACAAAGAATGACACAAGCAGTAGTCCTTTCAGAATTTTATTTAAGTAGAAATAAATTGGCTCAATGAACACCTTTGCTGTAAACTCTATATAGCCACTGGTGGTTGGTTAAAATTTTTAACCTGGCTAATGCTTTTTGAAAACAAATCAGTCAGTAGAAATAAACATACTGCAAAACTGCTGCCTTTAATGAAACATTTTTGAATAATATAGAGTGGCTTTGATGCAGAATGTAAGTGCAAGTGTAGATTTGAATAAACAGAAAGCAAAACATGGAAATAGCGCAAAGTTAATGACCAGGAGCAAATACATTAAATAACATACAAGACAAAGGAACACTGAAACAAGAGAAGACAAGTAAGACATGATGAGGTTGGATTGCGGAGTGGTGAAAAAACTCATTCCATGTTTTGTAGGTCTGGTTTTCTGTATAGACATGGGGGAGGTGCTGAGGCAGGATGTGTGGGTGTAAGTTGAATAGAGAAAGGGGCGGAGCCAGATAGGAGAAACTATGATAACACTTGTTCGAGACAACATATATATTGTTTGTATTGTGCCTGTGGCATTTGACACATTAACAAAAAAAAGACTAACTTGTCTACTGTAAGACAAGTGAGATAGGGATCTTTACTCATTAGTTTCATGTTGGCATGCAGCAGTCTGGGACAGGTCGCTTGTTGGGTTTACAGTAGTGGAAAGTTGTTTCAGGCTTAGGCAGAACTAACTGTATGTTCACATTAGTGTGCAGTAGAGTGACAGAAAACCAGTTTAGTGTGTTTTTGTGTAGAAGGTAAATCAAATGCAGGGATAAGAGTCAAAGACTGTGTGCAACTTATGAGTCTGTATCATAATGTACATACAGTGTTTCACTCCAGGTTATTAACAGGGGAAAAATAAATAAAAATAGCCTTTGTAGTATTTAAGCTAAAGTTAGCTGCAAATGGCATTCACAAATATGACTCCTAGCTGTGTGCCAATTCCCAGTTCAGCATGAAGAGCCTGCATTGAACCTGGAGGCATATGGGAGATTGCTCACATTGGCTAGCTTTGGAACATGTACATCATACACAGATCACTAGCATGTTGCATGCATTTTTGCCAGAAATGGAACTGAGATTCCAATAAATTTTAATAAAGAAATGAATATACGTCACTTGACAAGCTGGCAAAAAGTCTTTAATTTACAGCATGGAAAATATGTATACAAAATCTTTTAGTCTTGCAGTTATCACTTCTGAAAGTGACTGTAAAACTCATGTGTAAATGCATATGTATATGTATATGTATTTGGAATGAGAACAGATTTGCACAATTATATCTACCCCAAATGTAGTTCTTCAGACAAGACGGTGTCCAAAATGTACTCCTTTGCTTTTGCAATAATGTAGATAACAAGTAATTAAGCTTATATCCTATTGTGCAATTTCAGTGCCTCAAAGGATGCCATTTGTACAAAAGCAGTTTTAGAAAGTAGCACAATAACTTCATCTTTACAAAAAAAAAATAAACAGGTCAAATTTATTATATTATCAAACTGTTAAAATGTACTGCACTATTCTGCCCTTAAACATGGGTGGTTAATGTTGCCTTATTTCTGTAAGGGTTCACCCTGCACTTCTTCAATTTTATTGTGCTTTTCCCTGTAAACAAAAACCATCAGTAGTTTTAGAAATGTTCTTCTCAATTGCTTTCCAACAACCATTAGGCCTACAGAGATGACTTTGCAGTGGACTGCAGTGGCTTTGTTCCTCTACGTTGAGATCGGAATCCTTGTTATCCTCTGTCTGCCTTTCATCTCACCTCAAAGGTAAAATGGAATTGAGTTTATCCTCATTTCTAAAAATTCAATGTTTCAAAAGGTTGAAAGTTTCACTGGGCATTCATTCTCTGAGGTAGTCAAGTAATAGTTGCAAATAATAAATGAAAAAATTAGCAGTTTAGAAAAAGTTATTGTATATTTTAGTTTTAACATTGTGTTTTTGCCATTTAATATATTACCAATACTACTAGGGATGCAACGACGAATGGATCAAATCAGTATCGTCAGTTGTAAAAACTAGTTGTGAACTATTACTTGGTTTGACAGTGCTTATGCTTTCCATCTATCAGTACATCAATTAATTAAATAAAATACAGATATGAGATACTGCAGTACAATCATTCAGTTATATGGAAACACTTTCCACTTTAACATCATCTAAAAAGACGGTTTCCTATAAAACTGAGCTTACCTGACATGACAACTTGACTGTGTGAGCATCTTGGAGAAACCCTCTGCATCCACAGCAGAAGCTCAGCATGCAGGGTAACATTAAATAAGATACTAAAACCCTAGTCAAAAGTTATTGCCTGCTTTTTCAGTTAGCTCAGTTAGTTTTAATATATAAAAATATAAATTTAATATATAAAAAATAAATTACATTGGCTGATGTGATGAAATTGTTTGCCTACGCTGCATGGCTATTCCATAGAAATCTGTCCACACAAGAAAAGTGTTTTAGGTCCCTGAAAACTTGTAAAGGACTGATTCATTAATTATGGAAATAATCATTGGTTGTAGTCTTTATTAAGACCATCATTGCGGTTAATTGCTGAAATGGAATTATACTTTGTAAAGAAAGTGATTTTACTTGCTTAGGACTCAGGATTTGGTTTGAGACTCACCTGTATTGACTTGAGACTTCAGTTGGGACTTACCTGTCCTGACTTGAGACTTACTTGTTGCTTGCAATACAATTACTTGCTCCCACCTCTGCTAGGAATCAGACTCCAGTTCCAGCAGTAAAGCTTGGCTCTTCATTTTTTAAAAACAGTGTTTTAGCAGGTGGAGTTGTTAATCAAGGGCATAGCGTGGTCGCCAAGGATGCACTGGGGCTCTCTTCAACCCAGTCACCAAACCTAAACTCTGTGAGTTTAATTTTTTAATGGGTGACTTCAACTACATAAACCCAAGGAAGGTTCTCTCCAAATTTGTTCAACATGTTTCCACCATGTAAACCTGAGGAAGGTTCTCCACAAATTTTATTAACATTTCCGTTCCGATGCGAACTGATGCTGGATCATGTTTACAAAACACAGGTCTATTCTCGCTCCACCTTGGACTTTCTGGTCACACCTATGTGCTGCTGATCCCCACATATCAAGCGCTACTGGAATGGGTGAAAACAGCCATCAAAATATGGCTGAAAGGAGAGATATCAGATCTGCAGCTATTTCAGTTGATTGGATCATGTTTAAGGATGCTGCTACATGTGTGGATCACGGAGACTTGAAGGAATGTCATCCGTCATCAGCCATTGACTACCTGAGCAAGTTTGTAGATCAAGGATGCTTAATCCTGGTCCTGGGGATCTACCCCGCTGGAGAGTTCAGATCCAACACATCTGGCTTTATCTAATGTTTCCCCCGGAAGGCTTTTATTACCTGGATCAGGTGTGTTAGATTAGGGTTGGAGCTAAACTCTGCAGACCAGGATTGTGCACCCCTGGTGTAGATGATGGAGTGATCACTTAAACTGTTACCAAACCAGAAAGCCTGGCTGAGTACTCAGGTCTGTTCCCTGTTTAAGGTATGCGATTTGGCTTTCAGATTAGGTGACAGAGTGGTATGAGGAACGACAAAGCATCTCATGCACTGAAAGTTCAAGAACATTTCACAAGCAGTAACCCACAACATATGTGGCAGGGTATTCAGACTGCCATTAACCACAAGATTAAGAATTACCTCTAACCCAACTATGCCACACTGGCCGGTACTCAAATTCTGTGCCCATTTACTTAATTTTTTTGAAGCATACAACACTGAGGCAGTAAGGATCATATCTCCCCTTGAACAGGTGCTGTCTGTCTGCAGCTGATATGAGGAGAGCCCTGCTGAGGGGTAAATCAATGCAAAGCTACTGGCCCTGACAACATTCCTGGACATGTTCTGAACACGTGCACCCACCAGCTAACTGATGTCTTCACAGACATCTTCAACATCTTTCTCTCCTTTGTAAATAACTACCACCCTGTTGTAACTGTCATTAGTTATTGTCATGACTTGCTTTGAGTGATTGGTCATGGCTCACATGATGGACACTGGGCCCCTAGCAAGAAGCCTACAAATAAAACTGCTCTACTGAGGATGCCATAACCTGTGCCATCCAACTGACCTTATCCCATTTGGACAGCAAGGACACATGTTAGAATTCTGTTTATTGACTTAGCATGCAACACCATTGTACCCCAGTAGCTAGTCATTAAACACTCACGTGCACTGAGCTCCTCGATCTGCATCTAGGTTCTAGAGTTTCTGAGCAGCGGGTCTCACATAATCAGGATCCAGAACAGATTGTCACGCTCTAAACACCGGAGCTCCCCCAGGGCTATGTACTGAGTCTTCTGCTGTACACTCGTTTGTCGATGACACTACAGTCACGCACCTTTAACAATGATAAGGTGAGGCACCTGGTGCAATGACAATAATCTCTCCCTGATTATCAGCAAAACTTTGTGCACGTCCCTCTGCACAGCAGCAGTACTACAGTGGAAACTGGGTGTGCACATCACCAACAATCTCTTCTCATCCCTGAACACCTCCTTAGTGAAGAAGGCACAACAGTGCAGCTACTTTTTAAGGAGACTGAAGAGAGCTAGGATGCATAAACCCATTCATAACTCCTTCTACAGAGAGCACCCTGACCTGCAGGAATGCTGTCTCATGTGGAAACTGCTCCACCTCAAAGAGGAAAGCCCTGCAGTGAAAAGCGAGCACTGCCAAGCCATCACAGGATTTTCCTGCCAACAAGGACATTTACATTGAACGGTGTATGCACAAGGCCTGCAGCATCAGCAAAGGAGCTTTCAGACTGAATTCTGCATTCTTTACATTGATCTGTTGCACTGTACGTATTGTACCCAGCCAATTTATGTAGACAGACACTTTAATCTGTATACATTGCCTGCTGTGTTTGTTATTGATCTAGGGTGAGGCTGTAACAGAAAATGAGCGTGGGCTCTCTCCCCAGTCCTGCCAGACCAAACGCCAGACACTATTCGAAAGAAAACCAGCTTAGATTTATTTATATTTTCTCAAAGTCTCAATGGCAAGACTTTTATCATTTTGCAACGTGGGACAAGCACATGCCAAAATAATAAATAAAACAGCTCAAGGTTTTTAAAACTAACTAAACCTGAAAACAAAATGAAACAAATATAACCCAAACTCCCCTTACTCCCTGTTTAACACCAGGAGAAAGGAATTTCATCCCCTGTATTCCCCAGAAATTCACAAGTTTCACAAAGCTTTCACAAAGGGTTTCATGTCTAACAAAGTTTTCATGGGTTTCACAAACTCTAACAAAGGTTGCACAAATTTAACATGTCAAGCAAGAGTCCCACACCAGGCTGGTCTGGACAGGTGTACTTGCAGGTCATGTCAGAGGGCAGAGAGCCCTGAACGTCTCTCCAGGTAGTGGCTCAGTGACCTCTTCTACTGGAGACAATCACAGACCTGCACATACTGCATCAGAAACACAAAATGAGAAAACACACAAAGCAGCAGCCACACTTTAGGGGGTCATAACACTATGTCTATTGTTATGCTGTTAAGGACGATTTCTAATAGTAAGTGTGCACTGATTGTACAGCATGTACATTGACCGCCAGCATCTGTCACTCCATTATCTGATTTCGCATCTGTACTGTCCTGTGCTTAAAAGTGGAGTGGTTATTGGACATTGTATAAAAGAGTTTTTTTTATATAGTATTTTATACTGGTTATTGTCTGTATTTATTGTGTTTATTTATGTTTATTGTGTCTGCTTGTACTGTTGTCTGCTGCTCTTCTGTTGCACCATGCCCTGGAGAAACTATGTCATTTTTCGCTCAACACATCTGTGGTGAGAAGGAATCACAGTAGAACTGACTTTTGACATTTATTAAGTCCTTAACAACTACCCAAACAGGCTATCATTCTCCATGATTGAAAGTTTTAAGTGATATGTTGTTCTGTGTCCTGCTGTTCTTTGTAGATGGCAGAAGATTTTCAACCTGAGCATATGGAACAGTATTGGTCATTTCTGGAACAAAGGATTCCTGGCAATGATCATCATCCTCATAGTTCTTTTTCTAGGTACGTGAACTTACTCTCTTCGTGTTTTGCAGACCAAAGCCATCACAGTCCAAGCAAAATATCAGAGTTGTGCTTTAAGTATAAATGGTTTGCATTTATACTTGTAGTTCAGTTCTCTTGGCCCAGACCAAAACAGGAAATGATACATTGTTGCATTTTGGCTCTGATATGCTTATATTCACACTAACATATTTAACATCGAACCAAAGGTTTTAAACAAAAGTCATACGAGTAAAAGGCCACAACTGATTGGGCAGATTTTATGGTGTATAATATCTGTGGTAATGTCCGCTGAACTCTCTGAATCATGCTGTGCTCTCTCCTATCTAGGCTCGTTGGTTTTATCTACTTTTGTGATGTTAGAGCAATAAGCCACAAGACTCCCTGTGTTACTGTGGTTTTTGCACGACTCAAAGCAAGGCGAAATCCCTGTAACACCGCCTCGAATGGCTCATTGCTTTTACAAAACAGAGTAACATTTGGCGGCTTAATAAATAATAAAAATTATGTGTGCAGTCAAATGTGTATATTGAGTATTTTACAACGATTTCAAACGTGCATCGGCCTCATTTTAAGTCTCAAACTATCTGTTTGATAATTACTGATTCAGAGTTTATGAGGAGACCAAACAGCATCAGACACTTGTCTTTTCTCTTTATGCAGAGAAGAGATGATGGTTTGTTCTGTCTTTTGTCCATTTAGACATCTTTGGTCTGTATGGTGTTCATACTTCCAAAGAACTGCACCAAAGTTCGTTTGGAAGGAAACCTGCTAAGGGGGCCTCTGTCTGTGTCTTTGGTGAATGGCAGCGTTCTCGTTTGCTCTAACAAACCACACTAACAAAGCAAACCTCGCCAGGTTTGATTTTAATCGTACCAAACCTGGGAGTTCTAAACACACTCCAAGTAAACTAATTGAGTCTATTCTGTTGTTGTTCTACTAATCCATGGTAGATGCTGTGAGGGAGGTTAGGAAGTACTCTGGAACTCAGCCCAGTAAAGAAGCCGTGCCTAGCATGTATGATCACTTGCATATGAAGCTTTTCAGAGCCCAGAGGAACCTGTACATCTCTGGTTTCACCCTCTTCCTGTGGCTGTAAGTAAGATCCTACACAATAAAAAAGACCATTGACTGACAAAGACCAATCTTTGTTTTCTAGCAAAAACCTCTTAGTTCTTACTACTTTTCTTTTAACATGTTTGCTTATGTGGCATCTGCTTTTGACAGAGTCATGCGACGAGTGATCATGCTGATAAATCAGCTGGCAGTGGCTAACAACACCAGCAAAGCTCTTCATGCCCAGACAGAGGCAGCTAACCAGGCTGCCAGGAAGTACATGGAAGACATCGAGCTGCTCAAGCAGGTCTTTTGCCAGATTTTTTAGAAATATACTCTAAACACAAGCAAGTTTGACTGTGCCTTTAGATTTGAATGTAAATCTCATTATATGTGCATGTTGCTTTTTTTGTGGAAAAATATTGTAAAAAGTATGGTTTCAGAAAAGAGGGAGTTTTTGCTGTTGTAGCACCAACTATTTGTTCAGTGATCATTAAGACACTGGCTGTAGGTGGAAAAACTGTGCTGTCACATTATTTAGTATGTTTTTGTATATTGGCAGAAAAGGCACTTTTGTATACCTTTTTTTTAATCAAAGTTGCGTATGGTCAAATCTGATTGGAAAATGAGTGCGCACAAATTTCACCATCAGTTTAATCTTTGACATATCTTTATGATCGAACTCACATTTGGTAGAAGTGTATGTAAATTTGCATGTAATATTTTAACAGCCTGAAAACTGCCTGATTTGCGGTTAAATAATCAAAATTATTGTCAATAACGTCAATAATATCAGCAATAACAGTAGAAATAAAAAACAATGATCATGCCACTATATTTACATTTACAGCATTTAGCAGATGCTCTTATCCAGAGCGACTTATAAAAAGTGCTTTGTCTACCTGGAGAAAGTATCTTTGCTAGTTACAAATAGGTTAGAGAGAAAGCTAGTCCTGAGCTCAGATACTGCTAGAAACAAAAGCCCATGTTGATACCTAGAAAAAAGGAACAGAATTAAACACAGAGCGTTGCAATACATTTCAATAAGTGCAGTACGTACATTACAATAAATACTTAACTCAGTGCTCACTTAAGTGCTGCAAAAAGAGATGTGTCTGTGTTTGAAGACTGCAAGAGACAGTCAGTAGGAGTTCGTTCCACCACCTGGGTGCCAGGACAGAGAAAAGTCTTGATGCTTGTCTTTCATGCATCTTGAAGTATGGCGGGTCAAGCCGAGCTGTACTTGAAGCTCGAAGGGCTCGAGGTACAGTTCGAGTAACTAACTGTGCACATAGCAATCCTTGTACTAAAGTGGATGTTCTTGTTCTTTACACACTGATATAACCAAATGCTGCCACTATAAGTTCTATTTAAAGACTTTTGCTCTATACTACTGATCCAACAAATAACTTTCTCCCTAAAATACAAAACAGTTTACCTAGTACAGTAAATGTTCAATTACTGCACTGTTCTTGTTCACGCAGCTACTGTTTGAAATCACATTACCATATCTGAAGAAAAAGGCTGTGACATTTTGTTTGTTTCACATTTTATTCTTTTTAGTCATTGCAATTTTAATACTATAAAGCTAGTTTTGCTTTATTAAGCTCTGGGTAATAGCAGTGCACATCCTGCTCAACCCCAAACTCTGCCTATGAGGACGACCCTTGGCTCATTAGCTGCTAAATTCTTTTGTTTTATTGGCTCACTGTTGAAACTTCCCAGGCTAGATGTTTTTAGCAGCTGGCTAACTTGAAGCAGGGCTCCGTCACTCGCACAACACAGCGAACTGATGTTACTGTAGATCAAAAAGACAAAAAAGTGCTGTTTTCAGTTTAAATATACCTAAAAGGAGGACTCTGTCTGCTGCGAGATTCACACTGCAGTTAATGCTTTTACACAGCGATTGTCAGATATATTGCGGTCCACCCCTCAAACTACTACGACAGCATAAAGAAATCCAGACGTCTACTGGCTGGTGTTTGAATACTATGATATGCTCGGACATGGATGTGGTAGGAGTGATGGCAGTAAGGTGGTGTGATCCATCACTGACCTACCAAGCCAGCTAATGTTTGCTGTTCGTACTAAGTTGACGTTGTTGAGAAACTAAACAGTTTAGCACTTGTAACCAGATAGCCTAGCATTCGTCACCAGACAGCTAAAAACAATGTTTTTTTTTTTTCTTAAATTATGACTATTACAAAAATTGCAGCCGTGCTTTTCCAGCTGACAAAAACAGCTCACCAGAAACTTTCTCCCACTCTCCCATGACAGATTTGTGAAATGTTACTCTGTTTGGCAAGTGTTTTGTCATGTTCTGACCATAACTGATAGTTTAAAACAGCAACTGACCACTCAGGAGCAAAAATCAGCCTTCAAACTTGCAAGAAATAATAATTTGACATTTATCGCGATATGTATCGATATCAAACGATATGAAAATTTTTATCGTGATACGATTTTTGGCCATATCGCCCAGCTCTGCTTCATGTAATATGTATGTATATGAGGGCAAATTAGGGCATGCCTGTTGCAGATGGTATGTAAATAAGGTACTTGTGCATGGCACTTATGTCCACACACTAAAGTTGATTCATCAGTGCCCAAATCACTGCTTGTTTGTCGTCACACGACAGTTTCCTGAATCAGGCGCGATTGTTTGTATACTTTGATGTACAGAGCCAATATGTTTTGAAAAAGCGCACGCCTACAGTGGCCTCCAGATCAGAGTTTTTCTTCAAAATTACTAGCTCCCCTAGAATTCTTGTGAATGAAATCTAATTGGCATATTTTCATTCAGATTTGACTTCTTCACAAACACATAAGTGATTATCCATGATGGGATGTCTCATTGGGGTATTAATATTGAAATTACAATGACATTTAAAGTAATCTTGTTAGGATGCATGGCATAATGAACTCTATAAAATACCAGATTTCCTTACTTTATTGCTAGTGACTAAAACAGTTGAAATTCATGAACGCTGTGACTGATTCGTATGAAACCGTATCAGTCTATAGCTTACAATACTTTGTTCACCAGTAGGGAGTGCTACAGTGTGCTTATAGCCATTTTTCAACAACAGCTTGCATGATCAGGTTGATATTTTGCATATATTATCTGCACTAGCTTGGGAGTGGGTTTCTTATGACGGCAAAATATGGCCACTGTCATTCAGTCAGATTTTGGCAGGCATTTGACAGGCTTAGCATTGACAAAAGTCAAAAACTAAATGGTCTGTTCATGTATCTGTTCTGTAGAGGCCCATGAACTTACAAGAATCAGCCACTGGGGGAACACAAAATAAAAAACCTATGTCTCAGATATTATTATATATCCACATTTGTCATTTGTGGGGTGTTATGCAGCTCTTTGTTTTGTTGGGGTGTTAAAACGTTTGCATGCTGCTGTATGTTCACCACAAGAAGGATAAGCGGTTTAGAAGAGCTATTAATAATAGCTATTAAAGATTAAAGGGGAATTCCACTGATTTTCCAAAATGTGATAGGAACCAGGATTTACAATGTCTAAACACAAAGTTAATCATTCCAATCACCACTACTGCGAACAGTTCTGGATTTCTTTACAATGGAGCATTTCACATCAAATTCCAAACTAGCTGTTTGCATCTTAACCATTTAATTATGCTGAAATTTTGGAAAATTGGTGGAATTTTAATTACATGACATACAGGGCTTGTTTGGGCCAAGCTTGCACAGGATAAGTGTTGACTGGTAGGAGGTTTTGAGGTTGTGTGCTTATTTTAGGCTTTCACAGATAATGCAGAGGGGGAAAAGAGTGCACAGAAGAATGAGCTTCTCAGGAAGGAGGTGCAGAAACTCACAGAGGAGCTGAAGATATCTGATGAAGGTGGGTGAAAAAACCTGTAGCTTATGTGTAAGAGGCTGAATTAAGACATACTGTTAGCATATATAAGTTTCTATCCTTAAAATATGTGAAACTGTTTTACTGAACAAACTAAGCCTATTTGAGGAACTTGCTTTTATCAAGTGTTTGAGAATATAAAATTGGTCATAACTAGTTTTGTCAAAAATCTGCATTTTCTTATACAATTAATTATGAAAATTTGAAATTATACCAATATTCATTTCCACAGTATGGATTCTGTCCAAATTGGATGGGATTTCTGCTGGGAAGTTCTGCTGCTGAAATTGAGATTTGTGTTCAGTTGATCCCTAACCCCTCTGAGAGCTCAGCTAACACATTTCTCATGTCATATACATACATTCATCATTGGTTTGACTCTGCAGCTCTGAAGAAGTCCAAGTCAGAAGTTGAGGCCATGAAGGAGCAGACAGAGAGCCTGACCAAAGAGTATGACCGTTTACTTCAAGAGCACCAGATATTGCAGGTAACAGACTTTTTCTAAACGTAGATGTAAACACTGTCCCTACACAAGGCCTGGGTGATATGTAAAAATAATTAGCACAATATTTTCTATTATGATTAGCGTTATTAAAGATCGTCCTCAGTCAGTCTGAGCTATATTCATCTGGCTTGACTGATACATGCCCACCAATGATCACTCAAGTAGTATCCAATTCAAGAGAATACCAATTTCCTGAAACCAACACAACTAAACGATAGAATATTCTATGTTGCAGTGTATGGTGTCTGAGTGTTGGTAGCCAAGCGAAGAAGTAGCAAATACTGAAAGTTTTTTAACAGTTTCTGTGATATAATTCTGTCTGAAATATTTCACATAAAGCATTTGATGACTATTCTGAGTTTAGCTGAAAATGTATTCCACTGAAGGAAAATGATGTGAACTCATACATTTTGTCACTTGTGGAATATCCATTTTGTAGGGTAGTGTGGGTAGTAGGTAGTAATACAAAACTCTTAAGTAGGGAGTTTTTAAACACTGTGTCCACTCACTGTCCGCTCTAATAGACACGCCTACCTTATTGGTCCACTTTTAAGGCAGAGATGATTGCTCACCTGTTGCTGCACAGTTTGGTGTTAGTCATCCTCTAGTCCTTCATCAGTGCCCAGAGAACGCTGCTCACAGGACGCTGTTGGCTAGATACTTTTGGGTGGTGCACTATTCTCAGTCCAGCAGCGACACTGAGATGTTTAAAAACTCCAGCAGCACTGCTGTGTCTGATCCACTCATACTAGCGAAACGATTCACCACCAAATAATATCTGCTATGTGGTGGGGATTTTGGTCACTGATGAATAGGGTAAAGGTGGGATAATAATTCATGCGGAGAAACAAGTGACTACGCTGTAATTGTAGAACTACAAAGTGCTCCTATATGGTATGTGGAGCTGATAAAATGGGCAATAAATGTCGATACAAAATAGGTGTACCTAATACAGTGTTCAGTGAGTGTATATTTGAACGATGGTTGGGGCTTCTTTACTTCACACAGCTGTTTAGTATAAAAGCATGTATAAAAACAGAAGACTCAAGGTTGTGTGTTATCACAAATAGCATCATAACTATGGTGCTTTTGGCTGCAAACAAACCAAAACCATGATGTGGGAATTTGTGACCAATTAGTCAAAAGAGCATTTGTGAGGTCGGCACTGATGTAGGAGGAGAAGGCCTAGCTCACAATCTACATTCCAAAACGTCCCAAAAGGGGCGTTGAATTCAGGGCTCTGTGCAGGCCATCAGACTGCAAGGTAGTAAAGCATGATTCATAGCTCCCAAACATGCTTCCACTGCTCTTGAATCCAGTGGTGTTGTGCTTTATACACCTGCATCCAGCTGTTTGATACTTCTTAATTATTGCCCTGAATATTTTTATAATCATTGCCTAATTTATGAAGGTCAACAACCTTTTTTCTAATGCCATTCACTTCATCAGTCCTCCCCCTGTTAATGGAAGACTAAGGGTGTTTGGCCTACATGTCACCTCATATTTATGTCCTAGTGAAAAAAGAACACTTAAATGTACTTAATAAACAGTACAATGTACAGTGTGCAATGCCAGTTAGGATGCCAATAATTTTGACATGCATGTTTTTGTGAAAAATGCTTATTTTTTAATTGGATTAAATGTAATTACAATGTTACATTTCTCTCAGTTTTTGTTATAAATTAGGCTGATGAGTTTTTCAGAAATGTGCTTACCTTTACCAAGGGTGCCAATAATTGTGGAAGGCACTGTACACACAGTACACACATACACACCTGCACCGTTACTTTTATTGAAATTAAAATGAACTAAACCTCTGAGCATCAGTTAAGTGTGATACATGATAATTTGTATCAAGACATTGCAAATAATAAGAGTAATCGAGTGGCCTTCTTAAAGGACACATCATCTCACGTGAAACGCTTTTCTATTATACTTGCTGTGTACACAAATACAAACATCACTCACATTACCGCCTTCTCACCTGAACATTTTCTGTTTTTGTCCTAGAATCAGATGGAGAGTGACAATAAGAAAGATACGTGAGCAAACCAGTCAGCAGGAAACTGGCGGCAAACTCTGCATGGCACCTCCCACTTCCCCCCCAAGGAAGGGGAATGTACAGTTTTACATGGTGTTAATTAGAGCAAATGCAGACCTAAATTCACTCTCAAAACACCTTTTTTGGGTTAATTCCATGGATTTTTGACAATTTCTGCATAAATAAATGGTTGAAGATGTAAAGTCACTTAGAGTGGTTTGATGTGAAATACTCAATTCTAAATTCAGAATTGTTCACAGTGGTAGTGATAAGAACCAGACATCTGAAGAGTTTAACACTTCTAAAAGCTCCCTCACAAAAACATGAAATGGTTTCGAATGTCCGATTTCAAAGACACTGTTTTTACGATGGATTCGAGAAGGTTTTGTCCTAAAACATCTTTTTAAAAATCCATCCGTGGTGGAGAAGCACACTCAGGGTGTTATAGGGCAACATAGCCCCCCAAAAAAGCATGTTTTTAAGATTTATCACTATTCTTCAGTTGTCAACATTAAATATAAAAACACAGAAAGCACATGTAGGTGCACTGGTGGTTTTATAATAAATAAAATGGAAACATTTGTGTTGTAGACATCACGACTTCCGGTTCTTATCACCACCACTGTAAAGAAAATACAAGTAGGTGTGTTTCTCTATAGTGATCCAGTTTGCATCAAAACACCCTGAATTCTTTGATCACTGGACACACAGTTGTTTTTTAACTTGGCTGTTTTGAAAGTGTAGGTACAAAAAGTGATGCTGGATATAATTTTTGGTACATTTAAAGGTATAGGTTGTGTTTGATGCATGTTATTTTCCTCAGTTTCTTTTTTGTTTTCTCAGCATACATCCTAGGAAAAGACTCCTTGTGCCAAAGTCAAAGGAAATCAAATAGATTTACTACTTCAATGCCTTTTATATTTGCGGAGTCTTTTTTTAAAAGGTTGTAAAACAAAGCAGCAATTCCCACGGCTGTAAGAGTTGTTTTTAATGAACTTTAATTAAGATTAAACTATATGTACAGGTACAACAAATAAACATCACAATGAAACCATTTCCATACGTTTATAGATGCTTTGATGCAGTAAAATACACTGTAGCCTGTATGATTCAGTCATTGTTGTATATATTTGTGTGTAGTACTCTATAGAGGTAGCTAAACTAGACCTGAGTTTGGTCTTCATAAATTGACACATTGTTAATGGCATACTACAATGCATACTACACTGTTGATGAAGATTACTATACCAAAATAACAATCCAATGCAGTGCAAATTGCATAATTTGTAAATAGTCGATTATTTTCTCTTTCAGTTGAGGTAGCTTTGTTGCAGCTCACTTCAATCCAATCTTTTTACAACCTGAGTGGCACTGTTCCCAGTGAATTGATTACAGAGAATGATTAGTTTGAGTGAGTACAACTTCACTGCTCAGCAAAGCAAAACATTAACTCATCCTTCCAGGAAAGCATTCATATAATACTAGTAGACAGTGAAAATAGTGAGATGTGGTCTGCAGTGTGGCAAAAAGAGAAAGTGAGTGCTGAAAGTTTGATACATTAAAAAGTGTTATTGGACATTATAACCTGCATCCTTAACAGTTTATAGGGGAATTCCTCTAATTTCTCACTATTTCTGCATGATTAAATGATTGAGATGTAAACAAAGTCATTCAGAGTGGTTTTATGAGAAATGCTTCGTTCTAGAGAAACTTACTAAGATAGAATTGTTCACAGTGGTAGTGATAGGAATCAGACCACCTCTAAATAGTTAAGTGCCTCTGAAAGCTCCCTCAGAAAGATATTACATGACATGGTTATGAATATGCTGTCTGATGCCTGAGACATTGTATTCTGACATTGGAGAGGCATATACAGTGTGTTGTAAGGCAAAATAGTCCTCAAAGCAAACTTATTTGAGATTTACCACTGTTTTACCCTCATTAACATTACATATAAAACTCAGATGATTTACTGGTCATTTTGTAAAGTAAATAAAACAGTTATTTTTGTATTGTAGACATCATGATCCCTGGTTCCGATCACCACCACTGTAAAGAAATCTGAGTCTGTAAGTTTCTCTGCAGTGACCCATCTCGCATCAAAATGCTTTGAATGACTCCGTTTACATCTCAGTGTTGGAATCATGCTGAAATTTTGAAAAACTGGGGGTGTTCCCCTTGTGTTCTGGACCTATCCTGTAACCTTGTTTCAATGTAGTGTCCCTAACATACTTCTTTTCCTGTACAGCACTCTGATGAATTACTGTCTCATTTACTGAGATATTCTGTTAAGACAAAAACACAGACTATGCACTGCCCTCCAGAATTATTGACACACTTCGAAAAGATGAACGAAAAAGCTATGAAGAAATGTCCTTCATTGATTTTATCGGATTTTTCTGAAATGATGAGAGATCCAACCTTTCAGTAAGTTGTGAATTTTCAAAGAAACAGAAACATTGAATTTTAATTTGAATTTTTAATTTAAAAAGTAAACAATTATGGGCACTACTGGAGATTCTTATACTCCCATTTACATTTTATTAAACCACATGAAAGGCTTTAGGAACTTCCAACTCGTCATTTATTACTTGCTGTTAAATTTAGCTATAAATATAAGGTGAAAATGTAAGACTTCCACATACTGCACAAATGAACTGAGGCAAAAAAGTTACCAACCTTCAGAAATTGCCCATAAAATAGGTTTAAATTTAAACAATAATTAAGAAGGTTCAGTCAACTGGAGCGGTGATGAATGCAGGTGTATATTTCCCTCACTAGTTAGAAGGCTTACCAGTGATCAAACCACAAATGTAAATGCCTGGAGTTTACTAAAATACCCCTTATTTTGTATTGATTGGATACACAGTAAAATTTAATTGTGTGTTGTGGGGTTGATTTAATCATAAAGGCTCTTGGTGTCTTATTAGGATATGTTAATCATTATGTTAATCTGAGACCAGATCAAAATCTCCCAGAAGGCTGAGACCAGGTCATAGTTAATCATACCTCCAAGTCCACACAAATCCTTTGGCTACACTTCTGCAGTGGCCATCCCAGTCCCCTGAACAAAACTCCATCAAAAACCTCCAAGCTAAGGTGAAAATGAGAGTCCACAAGTGTGACCTTAATGAAGACCTGGAAACAATTTGAGCGGGTTGAGAGAATTTTTGGGGATGTATGTTTATAGAAACGACTTGGGCTATTTGGGTGACTGTTGAGTTGAAGTGTTTGTAAGCAACGTTGGCCTCATAGCTCCAGTTCTAAACTTTCGGTCGATTGACCGCATCTGGAGTACGTGAATAATTGTGTAAATTACATTTTTTACCGAACCATTCCTTTAACCCTGGTTTAGATACTCAGGCTATGTAGTTTATGATGAACAGTCCATTGTATGAAACGTGAGGAAGTGTTCTCAAAAAAGGAAAAAAGAAATCATAAGACCTAAATATGTAGAAAGGAAGCATTTGTAATGGGACCAGTGTTAGATCAAACTAAACTTAATCTTAGCTGGATAAGCAAGAAATATTGCGTGGTCCTGGGTTGAGAATGCTAAGACAACTATGTGGAATTTAAATTGTAATTTATTAGAATCCCAAATGGGCGTCCAATAATCAGTAACTCACAGATTAGCCAGTTATAAATGTATATAATTTACACAGCTTGTGGGGTACCACTTTAACAAGACTGCCCTTAAAAAGGGTTTATGAATCATTTAAAATTAGTTTATTAATGGTTTCTAATTTGGTTATGAACACCACAAAAATCATCAATAAACTGTTATAACGCATTAATAAAGAGGCCAAAGGTGACTTGTTATATCTGATGAATATGAATAGGTGATGAAGCTGACAGGGTCAATGCTGACTGGTGGGGAAGACAAAGTAAGATTGATAGCCAGCAAAATCTTCAAGTTAAACAGAATATAGTCAATTTACGCTTTATTTATAAAGCGCTTTTTACAACAGGCATTGTCACAAAGCGGCTTTACAGAAAAATGCGGGTCCAGGCCCCCATGACCGTCGCCAATGGCGACAGTGGCAAGGAAAAACTTCCTAAGAGCAAGACCAAGAAAACTTGAGAGAAGCCAAGACTCAAAAGTGGAACCTGTGCTCTTCCGGTCAACACCTTATAGCCATCAATAACAAAATAGCAATATTATAAATTCATTTGAGTTCAGTATTAGGCTAACAACAGGTCACCGTTGCCCTTTGTATTTGTGTTTTTAAACTGCTTATTAATGATTTTAGGTTGTTTATGACCGAATAAATAATTAATAACCGTTAATAAACTAATTTTAAACCATCCATAAACTCTTTAAGGTAGTCTTATTCTAAAGTGGTACCCCTTGTGGTAGTTGCTATTAGTTATCCTCTAATTTTACAGTTTATCAGCTAGCAAGATTGGGGGGAGGGGGGCTAAAAATCCTGATAGGGCCCCCAAAAGGGCCCCCAAAAGGCTAGAGCCAGTCCTGATTGGCCAAGTTTGTTTGCACACACAAGCAATGACTTTTTTCCTTATCTTGACCAAGGGTGCCAATAATTCTGGAGGGAAGTGTATCTGTGCAGGTAGGAAAGCAATTACCCAATTACAGACACAATTAAAAAGCACTTTTTGTTGACACTTGTATTGCATGGACCTTCAGTAACCATGATAACCAGACTGCAGTGGCCTTAGAAGAAGCTGTAGGTTCATTTCTTTTGTCATTGTCTGGCTTATTTTTCAATATTGTGATTTATTGACATGTTGTGAATTTCCTGGAATAGTAGTTCGTTGATAAGAACAGACCATTTATTTTTTAAATAAAATAATCTCTGACAGAAAAGCTTTTTTTTTTACATTCACAGCAGGATATTCACTTTTTAATTATACAAAATAAAGCAGTGAATAAAACTATATACAGGCTAACTTAAAATGTAATAAATGCCACCTGTTTATTTGCTTTAGAAAAAAGAAAAAAACTTGGTTGTTGCTGGTAAACTTTAATCAAGGAGCTTCCCTGATGAATCAAGGAATAACCCATTTGCCAACTGAAACCATAGATGTCTACAGGCATATAAAAGAATAATTATTTGCAAATTTTCAGGAACAATCAAGTTAAGAACCTGAGAGTAGACCAGTGTTGACTATTTTACTTTCCTTTTTGGCACATTAAAACATGCGTGCACACATACACACCACACATACTGTTACACATTTTACAACAGTAATGAAGATTCTTACTTACATACTCATTTGATCATGCACCTGTTTGTTAGCCCACAGTGGTCTCACACCCCTCTATTTGATGTTGTATGGTGTTGGGGGGATAAAAATCACAGCCAGGTAACATGAAAAAGCACAATGGTGATCACTTCAACAACCCAATAGCACACAGCCCTCCTGACAACGATACATTCAATAGAAGCAACTGAGATGTAAATATGACACTTTATAAATTTCTCTTAAAAGCTGAACCTTCAAGTCTGCATCTTTGTGGCAAGACCTCCCTGTAACAGCACACAGTGTATGGGTCAGTTTTTAGGCATCTATCTTTGTGCACATGACATTTTAAAGAGTAATATGTGTGTGTGTGTGTGTGTGTGTGTGTGTGTGTATGTGTATATATATATATATATATCCACAATTGTATGCAAAAACTTGGGCATCTCTGGCCAAATTACATATTTTGTTAACTTTTGAAGTGAAACAAAGTAAAACAACCTCTGCAGCAAACTATTTCAAAATAGCATTGTGAATGTTCATGCACAATTACCAAATACCTTGAATTTGACAAACTTAAAGGAGTAGTTTGGCATAAAATCAAATGAACAGGATTCATCACTTACCCCAGATGCACTCAATCAGCCAAGACATGTTTGATATCTGACACGTGCCTCTTTAGTTTACAACCAGAGATGCTAGGCTAATGTTGCTAACAAACTCTGAACTTACCAAACGCGTCTCCAAAACTCAACCCACTCAAAATGCATCCAGATCTTCATTTGTTTCACGCAGACAAATCAATGTGGTTTAGAACATTTTAAGACTTACTTTAGAGTATAAAAACAATTATAAACTTCTTTGCGCAGGCCACTGTGAGTAACCGGATCCACTTTTACCTCAGCACAACAAAATTCCTCGCAAGACAACAAAACATGGGGCTACATCAGAATCTGTTTATGAGGAGCCTGGCCTCTTCCTATTTTCCCCGTTATATAAAAAACATGACTGCAAAATGCCAGAGGGTGCCCGTGAGCGAGTCCTCAATGAATGGGGGTGAATGGAGCTAAACAGCTAAGAACAAAAAGTCAAAATAGTTTCTAATCACTTGTCCAGAACTTTCCTTTAATTTTAGAAAGTCCAAGGATGTATTTCACTGAAAAAAATGAAGAAAACCTACCTGTATGTTTACATTTTTCTACAGCTAATTGATTTTGGGCAACAGGATGCTAGCATTACTGTTACTGAGTGCTGATTGGTTGGTGAGCAGAGCAGCTCATTGGCTGTTCGTGCTCACAGAGGTCATGAACACACATGAAGCACATTTTAAACTTCTGTAACTCAAGTTCAAAAGCTCTTAAAAATATAACAGCAGTATTTTATGCTGTTCTGTGTTCAGATAATTATTGTATTCTTTTACAATAAACTTGTTTAAGCATTTATAAACCATGATTTTGCTAAAATGCTCCATCTTACCCCTTCCATTTTGGACTCGCTCAGGAGTGCCCTCTAGCATTTGAGAAACCTGAACTCCTAGCCACACAGACCCAGCGTAAGGTAACTTGGCAGAGAAGCTATGCCACTGGAACTGGAAAATAAAAACACTGTCCGAGAACGATTTTGAGGACCACATTTTCAGCAGACTCCTCATATGACAGGAATTGGGTTTACTTGTGGCAAGTGCCAGGTGTTGCGAACCGAGGTAGTGTCTCTGCTGTGAGGAGTGGGAGAGCTACTGATATCAGTGCTTGAAGAATTCGGCATTGAAGACGGTTTATTTATTTTTACAGTCAAATTGCAAAAAGCAATGCTTATCAAGCATGTTAGCTGCACAGATAGCATGATAGTAGCTAAGTAAGCCCAAAATGGACAGCAAAGACAGCTAAAAAGTAATCAAAGTTTACCTCAAATTCCCTACTCATCCGTAGAAATATACTTTGAACAACTGCAATTTTAGATTTTTTTTTTTTGTTTGCGAACTTCCTTGTAACTGTTAGGTAAAAAAAATGATCACTACATACACAGAGTTTGGCTGAAAGGTACTCTTGCTAGTTTGTGGTTCATTGCCAAAAACCAGTTTGCATGTTTCTGCATCATTGGGGTAAGTGGTAATATACCAGACTAGACCTAGATTTTTTGGGTCTGTTTAATGTTTATACAAAATGTAACACAATGCCTCATTGTTGTAGCTTTATAGTTATTCGAAATGCAACTTCTAGCTAACTGTCTCACATTTATGAAGCCTTAGCTATGCTAAAAACACAACGGCAATCCTGCGTAGTGACGTTTTGATCTACAACATGCCCCTTATGGTTTTACTAAATGAAATGATACTAAACTTGTAATTTGTATGTAACTTTTCAAGAGATTTTTGAAGCAAACAATCAACAGTTTGGCATGTATTTATTTAGATGAGGTCCAGTGTTTGTTAGCGACATTAGCCTAGCATCCCCCATTGTAAATTACAGAAACACGTCGCTTATCACACGTCTTGGCTAATCGACTGCATCTGGGGTAAGTGTTAAATCATTTTAATTCAATTTTTTAACTGTTCTTTCAAAAATAGGAAAAAATAAAATATGTAATTGTGACATGCAAAAGTGTGGACACCCCACTTAATCAGTACTTAAATAACACCCCCTTTGGTAGATATAACTTGCAAACACTTTTTGTAGCCAGCTTGGAGCTTTCTATTCTTGTTTTAAGAATTTTCACCCACTGTTCCTTACTCTTGGACCATCTTGCATGCACAGAATGTTTAAGAACTACCCACAGATTTTCAATGATGTTCAAGTCAAGGGACTGTGATGCTCATTTAATGGAAGCCATTCTTCCATCTACCTGTGCAATGTACCACTGGCTGCCACACAACCTCAAAGAATAATAATAATAATAATAATAATAATAATAATAATAATTAGACAGTTGGCAAGATGTTCTTTTCATCAAATGCTGCTCCTTTTTTCACAAAATATACCTATGGTGATTGTCCTTTTTTTCCACTTCATTAGTCAACAGCACTTGTTTCTATAATTACTCCGGCTTATCCAGTTGTTGTTTTGCATTCTTCAGATGTTGACTTTTATGATGAGGTTGCAGGTAACATTTTCTTCTGATGACTCTTACAAGAAGATCATGTTTGTGCAAGCAATGCTGCACAGTAGAATGGTGCACCACCCCTTCTGTGAGAGCTAAACCGTCCTGCAGGTCTTTTACTGTCATTTGAGTTTTTTGCTTTTACCTTTATGGACAGTATTTGAACATTTGCAAAAAAATGTTTAATAAAATATAAAATCAACAAAATATGTAATATGGCCAGCAATTCCCAACCTTTTGCATCCAACTTTATATATGATTGTGTACCTACAAGGCAACAGTATTTTTTCATTCCAGACTGTGCACTAAAATGGCTTTAGGATATGACATTGTATAATTGTCTCTAGGAGCATTTATGATTGGTGCTGCTATCTACTGTAGATGTGTAGATATGTTGGATATGATAGCAGTGACACTATTAAAGGCCTACCTTTAGGCTGAGAATAGAAATACACACAAATTGTCCTGCAGGTATATCTATGTAGAGACTCATTGGTTACCCTGTTGACACTCTTAAGGAAAAAAAAATAATCTTTTCAGACACAGGAATGCTTAAAATTCTGCCCACAGTTGATTTGGGACATTCTTAATGGAGCAGGACTAGAACTGAGCATTCTGCATTGGAAACTTTAATATTGTCTATTGCCTGCCTCTCTTGCTCAGCTTTGAATGGAACATTCATCACACTTTGGCCGTTTGCTCTCAACACATAAGCAATGATAGTGTTAAATGAATCAAACATGCCTTAACCAAAGGCTCAATTACAGCCCTAAATGGCATTTAATCCACCATCCAAATACTGCACTCACAAAGCAGTACATTAATTTTAGTATTTAGAAAAATACAGACAAAACAAGACTTCTCTACAATTGACCACATTCAAATAAAAAAGCTTGTTTATAAAACTCATTGACTCCCACACCTCCTCCCCCCCAGAATTCTTTGCTACATTTTTTCATTTTTTTTTTGTAAAACAGAATGTGGATTCAAGAGCTAATTCCAAAATGTCAAAACAAGACATTTCTGTACTTCACATCGTCTGGTAGAAATAATTTTATACTCAATATTTTTATGCTGAAAAAACAAACACGGGCACAGCCGGATGGTTCCCTGCATGGCTGGCTGACTGGAGTGCGTGTGTCACAGGCGTGTCTCCCGCTCAGGGTCATAGTCTGAGGTCCGTGGGGACTGGTCTGAGTTCGAGTTATTGGTCTCCTCTTTTCTAAGTGCTTGCAGTTCTGCAACAGTGCTACCAGTGTTGCCATTAGAAAGCACGCCGCTCTCCTGCCTTTTGACGTGCCGCTGTAAGACCAGAAGACCCAGAGCACACAGGAAGAAGGAGGCTGTCCTCAGGCCCAGTGTTAGGCCCAGATATGCTATCCTGAGAGAAAGTATAACAGACTGTGGTCTTAGCTAACTGTCTCACAAACCCATATTTCCAACTTACAGCTGGCCTCTAAAAGTCTTAATTTTGTGAAGGTATGAATAAGGGATGCATCGATACGGATACTGGTATCAGGTATCCATTCAATACCATGCTCATTTACTCAGGCTTGTACTCATAAAATACACAGAGACACATCCAACATCCAATACCACTTGATACCATGTGACCAAAGCCTGCATGCTGCCATGCTAATGAACATACCACTCAAGCTAGGAGTGAATGATGGGCTGCTTGCACAGTGAAGTGGTGAAGTAGTTGGTCACTTTTAGCATGTTCCTGCCACGCTCTCATTTTTCAGCACACAAAGTGTGCACAGTGTGCTGTTTTGAATGAAACTTTATTGGAATTTGTCCACAGACAGAGCTAACTGTTGGGGCTGTGTTTTACATAGCATGTCAGCCGGACCGAGCATTTTCATTCAGCATGAGCATGTTGATCGTAAATTTGTTCATACACGATGGTCTATCCAAACGAATAAAATTGGCACAGTGCATGCCTGGTTTTAGAGGACACTCAACTACACCTCAATCGACCAAACAAAGGCCTTTAACAAGATGTAAGCTCCTCGAATAGCTATGCATATGATTAACTAACTTGACATAACTAGCTAAGGCACATCATTTAAAATCCGCTACATTTTACCGATTTAACTGTTGCACTCATTTATACTAGCTACTTAATTCTAAGTTGGTTTTTCATTATGGTATTGATATCGGTATTGGCAAGTACCAAGAAAACATGTACTCCTACTTGTACTCAGTCTGAAAAACATGGTATCGATGCATCCCTAGTATGAATGGATTAAATGTGCAATATTTTTTCTAGCTTGTTAAACTTTTGTTAAGAAAATAAAAAGTATGGTTCAGATGTGTCTGATTATAGTGTGATAAAGGTATTCATTAGGGCTTGGAGTCGACTGCAAGTGAGTTGATTCTGAGAATCGATTCTTGAGACTTGAATTTGTAGAATCAAGTCCAAAGCTTTGGAGTTGACTTTTGTTTCAAAAATGCTTGGAATTGGACAATCACCTCTTTTGAAATTGACTCCCAGCCCTAGTATTGATTTCATCTGTTGAAATTCATCAAAATTGTCAAGTGTTTATTCAGGTTGCTTGTGGCAACTATGCTATAATACTATCAAACATCCTTAAACATAGCTACATTAAAAAACATTAATTTAGTATTGTGGGCAGGTCCTGTGTGAATGTGTTACCTGTAGGCAGTTGTATTGTAGATTCTGCAAGCTCCTTTTCCACCGCACTTCTTATGGCCCCATTTCAGACAGGCAGTGTCAATGATTGCTCCAAAGTATATAGGGGCTGGGATGCCAGCTGTTAAATTACAGATTTGCAAGTATAGTTGCATTAACCACAACAGAGCCAGATTTACACTACATAAAGGAAGTGAGATTATCAATTGAACTATACTTACTTCACCGAAAGTTCATCATTTTTATAATATCTAGGAACATACAGCAATTAAAAGAAACAAACAGTATTTGAGTGCGTACCTAGAGTGCGTGTTGTCAGGGTGTGAAATCCTAAAGCTAAAGACTTCAGCTGTGGCCTGATGCATCTGTAGAGCAAAATAAAGAGCAGTATAACAATTGACACCATGTACTGTACATTTTCTTCCTTTTCAGCTTTTTTTTTTACATTCTCTTCATATCCTTCGTCAAGTAACAGGTGGCTTATTCTGTTTAAATAAAGGAAGAGCTACATATCCGCACAGTAATTTTCCGCAGGCCAAACAATAAGGGAATGGTGTTGCCGGTAACCCAATTTAGCTCTGAGGAGCCTAAGCATTCCAGAAGTGTCAGCTGACCAGGATTTGGAGCAAAGCTACCCATGTTTAGTGCCAGAGCTCAGATTTTATCCTTTAAAAAGACAGATTAAAAAAAAAACAGTCTTAATATTAAAACTGGACATGTTTGGCTTATAGTGAAGGCTTGGGGTTTAACTGATCATTAACAAAAGACAGGCTTGCGAAGCAGACAAGCTTTTTATTTTAAAATAGCAAAAATTATACTTTTTTGGTAATTATCTATATGGGAAATCATTCAGTATTAATACCCATTTTTGTCATAATAATTCCTCAGTAATACATGTAAAATCTTGAATGACCGTGATCATAGTGATGATCATACCAATGACGGTATCAGCAAACAAAAGGTAAAAAAGGTGTATTTACTGGTTGAGTTATACATGTATAAATTTATTACTTGTTAGGCATTTCATTTAGAATGTCAGCTGTTTGACTCACCTGATGAGCAGCATGTATCCTGGTGTACCGCCCAAGGAGATGATGAAGGAAGTGATGACAGATAGAGCCAAGAAGTAGGGGAAGACTCGCTGGCAGCTCTCCCTGTGTCTGCACTGACCCACAGAGGCTGTTAGGTTTCCTCCTGCCACGCAACTGCAATGCTCAAACACCTTAACACATATACACACAAGTTACCCTTGGTTAATCATCACAATTTTCATTAGCTAAAGCCCTATGCTAAGCCGCAACAAAGTAATAATGAAAAAATTATTCATCACTTTATGTTGTGTATACAATTTAGAACAGAATAACAACTATTTCCCCACAAAAACAGTTACTTTAAAGATCTGACCTAGAACAGGGTCCCCTACTGTTCTGGTGCACTTCCACCCCTGGCTGCCTTGACACTAAACAGCATGGCATCTGTCATAACTACCAGTAATGTTAACATGACACTGTTATATTAATGGACAATATCTGTCCTAACAACTCATGATTTCAAAAAAGTTACTTTACAGAAGACAAAAAGGTTCTTAACTTTTAATGTAAATTAATGTTAAGGGATTTTATTTCAAGTGATTTTGGAGCATTTCTATTGCTCCAACCATTTTTATGTTTATTATTATATTTATAGCAATTAGCAATCAGCATGTTTGTTTATTTATAGCCATTAGCTATTTGGTTATAAAACAGATGATGACTGAGAATTCTCATTAATAAATGCTTAATTTAATTTCAGTTTGCAGAAAAATGTGGTAAATTAACCAGCTGTGATACTCGCAAAAAGAAAGCAGAGACCATAACGTGAGTCAGCAGGCACTGGCACTATGACAGAATGTTGGCTAAACGCTAACTAACTTAAACATCCAAATGCATCATATACTGAGTGAAACAGAAAGTAGTTACAAAATAAAGATGTCTAGCGACAGTATTAATTTGTGGCAAATTATGGTCAAAATAACTCGCCATGGAGTTTTTACCCAGGTATGATTTTCACCTCCTTGTATGTAAGGCTAACATTACATAAAAAAGGGAATAAGCTGAATATCACTAATGGTAACTGTTATCAATCTGTTCAAACTGAACCTGTTAACTAACGTTAACTAGCCAACTATTTAAGCCTGAAGAGGAATTTTAAGAAACTCATAGTAAGAGTGAATGAGCAATAGAAATAAAAACAACGTTATATTCTTTGTTTTCATATACAGTTTCTCTTAAGTATTTCCAAATAGTCCCTTCAGTAGTAGCTATAGACTGTTTACAGTAAGTTAATGTCACTGAAAAGCTCCCATAGCATTGATCCTAGTACAATTTATGTCCTTCCTCAACCTATCAACTGATGTATACAACATTTTTTAAAGAAATTTTCTCTCAAAGCTGGCAGCTCAGTCAGGCAAGATTTTGCCGACCAATTTTCACAAAAAATTTTGATTCATGATTGATCCCTCCTTAAGCCTTGGGTTCCTGTAAATCTCAGATTAATAAAAATACCATGTTACTAAACACAGGCAAACAGGGGAAGAGAAAGTTGAAGGACACTCTTTGGGCTAAAGGAACAGGTAGGATAAAGTTAAAATATACCAAATTGGTAGAATTGTTATTTTCTTAATATACCTTCATTTGTGAGAATAAATACAAATTTACTTTAGAAATTTATATTTGTGCTGCCAAATGTCACTATGGCCTTCTGTCACCTTGTTTTACATCAGAGCAAAACCTTACTGATTGCACCAATTGTACATGTCTAAATTCTTTGTATTTGGGTACCATAATCGGAACCTGCAGCTTATCCAAGAGAGGGCAAATAGCTAGATTGCTTGACTTCAGTATCTAAATATATGTATTTTGATCGGTTTTATGCCTATGGCTTCTCTAAAAATTTGTGGCAAAAAGGCATTTTGGGGACTTTTTCATTCCTCCTGGGGAACATGCCCCATCCATAAATCTCTAGTAATGCCCCTGAGTGGTTAAAGTGTTCCAGGGGAGAAGGGCCTGAATGAGTTGAAGGGGTGAGGTGGTCAAATTCAGCTTGCAGAGGACAGGCCTGAGAAGAAATGGTGTGTAGAGGGATGGTAAGGCATCGGATGTGCAGAGAGTGATAGAGCCAGCATAGGGGTGGAAATTTCTAGTAGGTAACGTCAATGGGCAGATGAAATGAGACTAGAGGTGGGAGATAAAGGGGAGATTCTGTGGTAAAATACAATAGGTACAGTTAAAAGTGTTTAAGTTTAGCACATGGGGTAGCTAGATAAATGATGAAAGGGGCTGCTTAGCCTGCGGAAGAGAGACTTGAAAATTAATGGTGTTAGGAGGACAATGAAGAAATCTCGTGAAGCGGAGGAGCCCATCCCATCATGTGAGCGGCAGCATCAAGGGGGTTTTTGGTAGGTCAAGAAAGAAGGTGTGATAAGGCAGGGTGAGAATGTAGAGGGCCATATGGCTTTTGGAAATTTAATGATGCAGCTCCAAATTTTGGTAGCCCCTGTAGGAGTGGGTAGTAGCATTGAGTAGCTGAAGGTAAGCCTCAAATGGCTGAAAATAGATGCCGATAATTGCGATTTTTTGAGTGTATCTGCAGGCACAGGTCAGAACAGATTGGAAGAGACATTGAAAGTCAAGCATTGGCAGGTGGAACAGGCAAGGGGGCAATGTAGAGGATTATTTGTCCTTCAAATCCCAAAGAGATGTCAGAATGTGCTGGTGCTTGACCAAAGATCAGTCAGGACTGCTGTGGGGATAGGACTCGCCAAAGCATGCGTCACGGTGAGTGTGGGACGCTGGGGAGGAGAGCCAGCCTGTCATGTGGGTCTGGCTGAGACAGCGCTACCCAGAGCAACGGAAACAGTAAGAAAGGACCTCAGTTTGGATGTCGGATGGAATGATTCAGCAGGAGGAGCAGGCAACAGGCGAGGAGAATTCAGGGCTCTATGGCGAGAGAATGCAGGACAGATGAGCAATGCTGGCATATCACAGCTGGTGCAAAAAATTTGTTGCAGGACACTGAATTTATAGGATGTTAGATTGGAATGAAGAGGGGCTACTTCCTTCTAAATTTTAGTTATTTCAACCCTATTTAACAGGTTTTTACAGGCAATTTTGGTGCAAGACTTTTTTTTTCCTTTTTTTCAGGTGTTTCACTTTAATTGCAACTTTCCTGTCAGACTTCTTACAGTATTTGCAATTTTTTTTACAGTGTAGATTCTATAAATTAAATTTGTTTTAATTTATACATGCTAATTGTTTTAATATGTTCATCAGTATTTTTTTTAGTCTTACATCCTGCATAATTCAAAGAACCAGGATGACTTCAGTTAAAAAAATTGTGGGCCACAATCATTATCTGCACTAAAACCTAATCTAAAATCAAGAGGAAGAGGGCAAAAATGTCACAGTGCATTATTAGTATTAAACAGATTAGTAAAGCATTGTCTTAGTTGCTTAACAAATATAGTTTATGAATTAGCCAAAGTTTATTGAGATCAGTGTAGGTATAGTGATGCTTGTATTTTCACACTTGTTGCAACATGGCACCATTTCCCCATAACCACTTTTAAAATGACTTTTTTTGTGATTAAATACACCTTTTTCTGCATGTTTAATGACATTTTGTGTTACAATATCACAATGCCTACTATACAATTATGGCACTTGTTCTACTGCAGATTAAAGACTGCAGTACTATAAAACTTGCTTCTTGCATCTTTTTCGTACATTTTGAGAAATTGTATTGTGTATAAAATAGGGTGGTTTCACATTTACTCCCAGTCCAAGAGTAAAAGAGTGAATTCCTCTGAGGAAGTGCCAGAGAAGGCAACAAACTTCACCCTGTCCTTTGAGCAAAAGCAAACAGGTTGTGCACACCCTTCAGCAACGGGTGGGAAAGGGCGAGTTCAAGGCAAAGAAAGACCACCTCGCATTGTTGCTTGCAAGCTTTGATGAGTTAGTACAATAAACACAAGCCATTGTTCCCAATTAAGCATGCCAATCCCTACAGCATGGCCCCTCTTACCGTGTCCACTCCAGAGCCACGTGACATCCGGCACCCAGCCAAGCACGGCGAGACATACGTGAGACCATCCTCACCACACACTGGGTCCCATTCCGTCCCTGAGCACATGCAGTCTTTATTACACTCCACAAAGAGTGTGCTGTTCTTAAGGGAGAGGCTGCCCATTCTGTTTGACATGTACACACACAAACAAAGAACCAACAGGTTATTTGTAATTAATCTGAAGGACACTACAGGAATTCTCCCACAGGAATAATTAAAGCGAAAAGATATCATCATACCTGTCATATGGCACAGTGATGCCAGCCACTTTGGCATTCTCGCAACCCATGGCAAAAAAGAAAAGAGACAGAAAGTAGCCCAACAAAGACGTTCCCAGGGCAAACTTGGCTGCTCCCATGATGCTCAGCTTGAGTTTCTTCATGAGCACGCCCCCTGAGAACATTCCCAAGGCGACAGCTGGGATGTTGATCACACCTGAAAGATAGAGCAGCATTAGAAAAAGCTAGACAGCAAAAGTATGCCCTAACTGTGAAGTCAGGGCCACTGGGATGTCACATTTCCGATGTATGAAAGGAAAGCATGTTTTGGTTTTCCCTAGGCCTGAGTTTCAAAGGGAAACACTTTCGTTATGTCGTCTCACGTGCATCAGTGTTATTTTAACTTTTTACTTAGACAAAACACCAGCAATTCATGCTAGAACATTTGCTTTCATAGGTAACAAAGGTCCAGATGAGGCATACAAACACAATGGCTCTGCATAATTAAATAGCTAGGATGGAAACAAAGTAGAGTGGTCTGATGTAAAATGCTCCATTGTAGAAAAACTGTTCACAGTGGTGGTGAGAGGCACCGGATGTCCAAAGTGTTTGATGCCTCTGAAATCTACCTCACAAAAAGTAATTACATAAAATACGTTGCCTGATTCCTGTGAGATTGTTTTACAATTTTTGAGCAGTTTTTGGCCTAAAATGTCCCTTTTTAATAAATTCACAGTGAAGGTATATATAGGGTGTTTGAAAGCAAACAGTCCCCTTATTTTTTTTTTAGACTGACCATATTTACCATATTTTACTATCACCAACATTACGTGTAAAAACTCACGTGTAGGTTCACTGGATGTTTCGGACAGTAAATTTAAAAAAATTGCGTTGTAGCCATTGTGACCTCTGGTTTCAGTCACCACCATTGTAAACAAATCTAAGTCAGTAAGCTTCTCTACAATGAACCATTTCACATCAAACCACCCTGAATGACTATTGAATGACTATGAACTATGAAAATCCCCTTTGGAGTTTATCCAAAGGCAGCAATGCTACCATCTATGCATGGGCCCCAGTGTGCAAAGCTGTTGCATTACTTACTACATGTTTTAATCGCTGTGTAGTATTTCGTAACTCCATGAAAGAGCTCCACAGAGTCTCACAAAAATCCCTGGTTTTTGGTTTTTGCATTAAAGAAAACTTGAGGTACCAAGTCAATGCCCCTTATTGACGACATTGTGTTTGGTTCTTGGTCAAAATAACCACATTAAGGAGTGTGACAGTTTGTTAAAGAGATTATCAGGGCTTTATTGGTGGGATTTTAAGCGTTGGTGATTCATACAAGGTCAGGGTTACTGAGGATAACCACAGGAAGTCAATACTGCACCAGAGGGGGTGCCCGGGAGCAATGAATTTCATAGTTAAATCTCATACAGTTATTACGCACAACAACCACTTGTATATTTGGAGGGCAAAGGAGCAGAGGCTCAAGCCCCCCTGGGTCTATCTGTGCATGTATCTACACCGGCCTGTCGTTAAGAAGTGTAAAAGGAAATGGAACTGGTTAGTAAATTCTGCTGTGAGTATTGAACATGGAAAGACCTGGGAATCCAGAGCTTTTGTTCTGCTTCTACATCACTTAGTAATGCATGGCTGTTGCAACAGCAGAGGTGAGCTGGCATTTGACTCAGCCCTTTTCAAAGTACTGGGGCGACAACTGACCTAAATTAAAATCTCCATTTCAGCTCCTAAAAAGTGAAACCTGTGTGACTCCATGTTAATGGAAAAGACTGCCATAGCCAGGGGCATCGCAGATGTAGGGGCTAGCACAGCTCACACTTTCAACGAAATATAATTCAGTCCTCCTAACTTTTTGTCAGATTACATCAGCTAAATATTTCATGGTTTTATTATTTTCACTGAAAGCTCACCAGTCGATACAGCCTAACATTTACACAACTTGGAAAACAAAATTCTGCCAGGCCTAGCCTTTACGTATGATAGCACTCAGGCCAATAACAGACGAAAACAGCTGTATGAACACTGATGTAGGGTGGGACGTTACAGTTACATCATGAACTTTTTCATTTTGTTTACACTGAGAGCCAGAAAGACAGAAAATGATGACCTGCCACACATGTAGGATACCCTTTAAACATGATGCCCATTTTAAATAAGATGCCCACAAAATCACTCAGTGTGGTTTGATGTAAAATGCTTCATTCTAGACATATTGAGTTTGAAATGTTCACAGTGCTAGTGACAGGAACCAGACATCTGACACATTTAATGCCTCTAAAAGCTCTCTTCTCTGTTTTTACCAGAAGAGACACACATTCTGGAGAGCACCAAGACGTCTGTCTGCAAACTTCTCAATCTTCCTGCAACATACAGTACATCCTTAAAGTGGAGTTTTATTATGATTCCTTTTTGCTGCTAGTCAGTAGGTTTATGATTGGCATGATGACTGCTTGGTTGGGCACAGCCAAATGCATTAATGTTATTAAAACTCACTGTGCTGTTTAAAGAATAATCTTTGGAAACATCAATATGTTTCTTCATAATTATAGCCTACTTAACAAATTACAGTGCTTGGCAATTTTTGTTAATTTACTTCAGTTTTTCATAATTTATTTTAATTTAGTTTACTTTTTTAAGTGTTATTTGGTTTAGTGACAATTAAGTATCAGTCTTTGTAGTTCAGCATGTTTTTTCTGTTAAAGCCCTTCTACCATTAGGAAAATATTAAGACAATATCACTGCCAGAGAAAATGCAGCTCTTAAAGGGAAAGAGAGGAGCTGATCTTACTGGTTGTCGATTCAGCGTTCCTAACCATGACTTTTGATAATGTATTCATTCTAACTCCACCCCTATTTACAGTTGGTGCTTTGCGCAAGGCCTGCGCTGACAGTCCTGAAAATACTAAAATACACTATGTGGCCAAAAGTATATAAAATCAAGCACAAATCAAGCCGTTCAGTCTCCACAGACAAACACTGGCAGTAGAATGGGTCATACTGAAAGGCTCAGTGGCACCATCATAGGATGTCGCCTTTACCACAAATCAATTTGTTAAATTTTTGCCCTGCAAGATCTGTTGTTTTTATGAAATGTTAGCGTCTAGGAGCAACAACAACTCAGCCACAAAGCGGTAGACTACGCAAACTCACAGAGCATGGCTGCTGAGTGCAGAACCAAACTACCTCTAGCACATTAGCACAAGAACCGTGTGTCAGGAGCTTCATGAAATGGGTTTCTATAGCAGGGTTTCTTAGCAGCTGCACACAAGCCTAAGATCACAATGCTCAATGCCAAGTGCTGGCTGGGATAGTGAAAAGCATACCACCACTGGAGCAGTAGAAAGAAGCTCTCTGGAGTGATGAGCAACTGGCAGTCTGATGGCTGAATCTGGGTTTGGCAGATGCTACCAACTGGAATGCATGGTGCCAACAGTAAAGTTTGGTGGAGGATGAATTACAATCTGGGGCTGTTTTTCAGGGTCTGGGTTCTAACAAAGAGTAATGTTAATGGTCCAGCACACAAAGACATCTGAGACAATTTTATGCTTCCAACTTTGTGGAACAGTTTGGGGACCCTTCGTGCTCAAAGAGTAAATACAGAGGGTGGATGCTCTCAGCCGGCACATGGATTGCTTTCATCAGCAGCACACTTGATATATATATATATATATATATATATATATATATAAATGTCAAGTGAACTTTATAGTGTCCAAGGGCGTTTTCTCTTGGGCTGTGGTGTCTGTGGCTGCTTAACCTAAAGCCTAATCACTTGATGTCTGACTTCACGAGAGCTAAGATATGACTGTTTTTCTGAGACCGGCATTTCAGCTGAAACCTGAAGCTGTGGTCTGAGAATGTCCTAAAGCATACACTGTAACATAGGCAGCTTTTAGTACAGGCACAATATCTGCCTGCCCCAGCAACACAAAGTGGCCCTGCCCAGCCCCCAGCTCCCACTATATACAGTGCCGTGGGCTGCTGCTGACTAGCTGGGGACAGTGCCTGATTTTAGTATTAAAATACATTGGCAGAAACATGCTGTGAACGAGTCCATAAAGCAGATTTTCTGCTAAACACAAAGCCCAGTGTACTTTGTTAGTGTGCAAATACTTCAGAAGACAAAATCAATTCCAGTGCAAGTTGTGTAAGACTATGCTGAAACAGACTCGCAAGCCAGAAGCACAGAACAGGACAAGAACAGGAGTAGTTTTCTTTCAATCCCTTCCTCTTACCTAAGAAGCAAAGTAAAAACAAAAACATTTAATCTTCCTGCTGTATCCCCCAGAAAGTAATGGTTGTAAGTTTAATTTGATTCCTATTTGGTGAACATTTTATATAGACAAATATTACTTACTGTCATGGTATTTTTAAGCTGGTATTATCACATGATTCATTTGTGTCATTACTTAAGGCAAATGGGTAACAGGAGTTCATCTGCACATCCTTTGATTAGATAATTAGCAATCTTTTAGGTTTACTGTTGTATTTTTCTATGCATTTCTATACAGTTTCACTCCATTGATCTGTGTTGTAGGATTTTTCTGGTTGCAATACTATACATCCAAAAGCTTGCAGGCACCTACTCATTCTACATTTCTTCCATAGCGAAGGGGAATAGTTTACCCCCCTTTGCTGCAGTAACAGTCTCTACTATTCCAGGAAGGAGTTACAAATTGCTATGAGGATTTGATTGCATTCATCCACAAGAGATTTAGTTAGAACAAGTACTGATTTCCAACTCATCCCAAAGGTATTTGATGGTGCTCCATCACTCTGGAGCCCAATGCTAGGGGGGCTTTATAAACCCTCTAGCTGACACCTGGCATTACGCTTGGTGACCATGCGCAGCTGCTCTATTGTGTCCCATTCTATTGGTATTACATTTCTAAGGAGATTATACAAGCTGTGTGTATGAAATTGAACACCTATGTCAGTAATGGGAGACCTTAAAGTAAACACTTAAAAAAGATGGTTCTTCAAGCATTCTTTAGTAAATGCAATGGTTCTATACACAACCCCATTTACAAAATAAAAATAAAAACAGAATGCAATGATATGCAAATCATTTAAACCTTATATTTAACTGAATATACAAAGGCAACATATCAAATGTTAAAATTTTATTGTCTTTTGAAATAAACAGCCCATTTTGAATTTAATGCCAGCAACATGTTCCAAAAAAGTTGGGAC